GACAGCAACTTGTCTGTTCCCCTCCCTGCAATTCCCCAATAAAAATCTTAAAAAAAAAAACAAAAACACAAAACTTGGATGTCCCACAGGCTCCTCAAACTCACCCTGCCCAAATAAACCTCTTCCTTCATTCTCACTTCCCAAACCCCAAACCAGATTCTCTTCCTGAGTCTGGCATCACCAGCTGCTTAAGGAAGAAACCTGGGAGTCCTCCTTGACAGCAGCCCCCCCCCCATTCCCATGGAGATGTTTACTGTCCACCTTAATAGATCCCCCTCTCACCCCATAAAATCTAGCAGTACATCTCAAATCCTGCTTAACTCCATCACCACTCCCCCTGCACTATCTGGTCATCATCTCCTATCTAGTTCTCATTTTCTCTAAGAAACCTTTTCTTTCTTTCTTTTTTTTTAAATTAAAGTTTATTGGGGTGACACAGGTTTCAGGTGTACAATTCTGTAATTACATCATCTATATATCACATTGTGTGTTCACCACCAGAGTCAGTTCTTCCATCACCATGTATTTGACCCCCTTTACCCTCATCTACCATCTCCTCCCTCTGGCCCTCTGGTAACCACTAAACTGTTGTCTGTGTCTGTGAGTTTTTGTTTCTTCATTTGTTTTTCGTGTTCTTTTGTCGCTTTCAGTTTTATATCCCACATATCAGTGAAATCATATGATTCTCGACTTTTTCTGACTTATATCACTTAGCATTATAATCTCAAGATCCATCCATGTTGTCACAAACGGCACTATAGCATCTTTTCTTATGGCAGAATAGTACCGCATTTCCCCATGTATAAGACGCACCCAGTTTTTAGACCCCAAATTTTTCGAAAAAGGGTACGTCTTATACATGGGGGAATACGGTATTCCATTGTGTGTATATACCACATCTTCATTATCCAATCATCTGTCAAAGGACACTTTGGTTGTTTCCATGTCTTGCCACTGTAAGTAAAGCTGCAATGGACATTGGAGCACATAAATCTTTACGGATATCTGTTTTCAGATTTCTTGGGTAGATACCCAGGAGAGGGATTGCTGGGTCATATGGTAATTCTATTCTTAATTTTTTGAGGAACCTCCACACTGCCTTCCATAGCGGCTGCCCCAATCTGCATTCCCACCAACAGTGTATGAGGGTTCCTTTTTCTCCACAGCCTCTCCAACACTTATCATTTGCCTTGTTGATGATAGCCATTCTAACTGGTGTGAGGTACTATCATATTGTGGTTTTTATTTGCATTTCTCTGATGATTAGTGATGTTAAGCATTTTTTTCATATGTCTACTGTCCATTTCTATGTCCTCTTTGGAGAAATGTCTATTCAGGTCCTCTGCCCATTTTTTAATTGGATTTGTATGGAACCACAAAAGACCCCCGAATAGCCAAAGCAATCTTAAGAAAAAAGAACAATGCTGGAGGCACCCCACTCCCTGACTTCAGCTTGTACTATTGGGCAAGAGTAATCAAAACAGTATGGTATTGGCAGAAAAACAGACACACAGACCAATGGAATAGAAATGAGAACCCAGAAATAAACCCATATAAATGTGGACAGATAATTTTCAACAAAGAAGCCAAAAACACACAATGGAGAAAAGAAAGCCTCTTCAATAAATGATGCTGGAAAAATTGGAAAGCCATGTGCAAAAGAATGAAAC